AAAAAACAAAAAACACCACCACCACCACCACCTCTCCTGTCTCCAGCCCTGCCCACCTGAGTCACGCTGCTTTTGTAGGCATTTTGTCTCCTTCCCAGGTGTGCCCTTCCTGTGTGGCACCCACATAAATGAACAGGCAGTGTTCCCTTGCTTTTCTCCACTCACTAGTGTCTTAGCAGCTTGTTTTCATCTGGGTGCTTTTTTTTTTTCCATTATAAACTTTATTAGAACTAACCTCATTATCAATGCCATCATGTTAAGTGTCTTGTATGTCAAAACTCTGAGTGTAAGTTCTGAGCTGCAAAGAGCATTGGTTTGTTTTTTTTTCCATCTGTCTTTCATGCCTTTGTTTACTAGTTGGATAAAAGCACAAGCAGCCCCGTTTTAATTTTTAAATTAGGTTTATCTGTCTGAGTGCGGCACCTACGTTGTTTACCATTGACGTTTCTTAGCGTGTGAGTGCCATGCCTACCTGTGTGCATGTGTACTGCTTGTGTATCTGGTGTTCTCAGAGGTGGGAAAAAGCACATCAGATGTCCTGGAAATGGAGTTACAGATGGTTGTGACCATCATTTGCATGCTGGGAATCGAACGCAGGTCCTCTGGAAGAACAGCCAGTGCTCATGGCTGAGCTCCATTATTAAAAAAGGAAGAAAAATATATTTTATTTATCCTTTGAAAGTTTCATATATGTAAGCAGTGTTTCCGGATCATATCCACCCCAGCCCCTTTGCTCCATTCCCCAGGAGTTCCCAGCATAGCCTCCTCCCCCCATGTCCTATCCTTTTAAGTTTTTTAAGCCATTGCCGAGTCCAGTTAGTCCTGACTGTTGCGCTGGCTGGTCACGTGGGCTTCGTCTTGTGCAGTTGAGTTGTTTTGAGATGGTTGTCTCACCGAGGCTGGCCTTGCTGAGCTGAGAAGGACCTTCAGGGGCTGGAGCGATGGCTCTGTGGTTAAGAATGCTGACTGCTTTTGCAGCACGCCCATGTCTGTTGCTCAGCACCCTCCAGCTGCCTGTAACTGCATCTCCATGAGATCCACCTGCACTCGTGTGCGTGCATACCCCCCCCCCACATGCACATAGTTAAAACTGAAAATAAAATCTTAAAGGACAGGATGGCTCTGTGGTTAAGTGTATTTGATGTTCTTCCAGAGGGTTCAAGTTTGGTCTCCAGCATCCACACTTGTGTGGCTTACAACTGCCTGTATCTTTTAAGAGCAATCTGATGCCCCTCCCCTCCACGGTCATTTGCACTCGTGTACATACCTGCACACAGACATACACATACACATAATTAAGGTAAATCTTTAAAAAACAAAAAAACGAATGACCTTCAACCCCGGCCCCCACCCCCACTTTGTTCATTTTTTTCTTATAGTTGAGTTTACCCTTTGGACCACCACCGTGTATGAATGAGCACGTAGGTAGGTAGTCTGTAGTAGTTTGAGGTACAGTTCTTAGAGGTGCTAAAAGTGTATGTAGTTTTGTTAGCTGTGGCTAAATTCCCCTCCTCAATAGTTGTACTGATTGTGCCCCCACTGGGGGAATGCCTCTGTCCTGTAACCTCGCCAACAAACTGCAGTGTCATACTTCTTCATATTTGCTAATCTGATGGGTAAGCACAGGCTCTCACGGTTGTTAATTTGCTTCAATTTACACTGAACATTTTGTCACGTGCTTGTGAGACATACACCCTGATATATTGGTTAATGGGGAAAAGTTGTAGGAAATGTATCATCGGGCTGTGCTGTTTTGTGAACATATAGTATACTTTCACAAACCTATGTAGTGTAGCCTGACAGCACAGCCATTTGGCACTGTCTGTCAGTCCTAGGCTACAAGGCTGTACAGCATGTTAATCTATCAGATACTGTATACAGTTGTTAACACTGCCATATGTGTATATCAAAACCTGGGAAAAGGTTGTCAGGCATGATGGCACATACCTTTAAACCCAGCACTTGGGAGGCAGAGGCAGGTGGATCTTGAGTTCAAGGCCAGTCTGGTCTTGACGGTGAGTTTCAAGCCAGCCAGGTATATTTAGTGTGACCATGGCTGGAAAAACAAAACACATAGAAAAGATAAGCTGAAAGTCTGGCATAGAAGGTCTTTCAGGAGGCCTGGTAGGAGGCTCAGTGAGAAAGGTGACTTTTGAAAGCCTGACAGCCTGTTCTGGATCCACATGGTGGAAGGAGTGAACTGGCCCCTGCAACCTGTTCTCTGATGGCCACATTTGTGCCAGGGCATGTACTCCCCTGACCCCCTTACACATGCACATATGCCTAATGAATATATCCTAAACAAACAAACATCACCAAAACAAAGCAAAAACGCGTGTGCGTGTGGAGAAGCCTGGCTGTGAGTGGTGCATGCAGGAGCTTGCTCTGGCTGAGTCTGGTGAGTGTCTGATGGCCTGGGAAGGACATTATAATGCCCCTCTGCGGACTTTTAAACACTGACGCACGGCCTGCACTCAATTAACAAAAACTTTTTAAAAAGTTAATTAAGTTACTATAACATTTTTATTCTACAAACTTATTTTTTGTATATATGTAGTATAGGAACATGAATATACATGTGAGTTGTTGGAGGGTGCGTGAACATGTTTTGTGTGTGTGTGTGTGTGTGTGTGTGTGTGTGTGTGTGTGTGTGAACATGTCTCTTTGCTCTCATGTTTCATCCTAGAAGACATGAAAGATAGCTGTTCCCTTGGAGTGACTCCATTCTCTGGTCAGACATACCCTCTTTGGCAGAGAAGCCTTTGTGTGAATCGGTCTGGACCAAGCCAAGCCCCTGCGGAGAACTTTAGACACTGAATGCTCTTGTTGCTTGGCTGTTATTGCCTGGACAGCCTGCTCTGGAAGGGAAATCTGACAGGCCCAGATCGTGTGTTTACCCTGAGGCTGGGCCATTCCAAACTCATGTTTCAGAGTAGTGAGGTTGTGTCCAGCCTGCCTGGTGGGTGGTAATCAAACACAGGTGGAGACCATCTGGCTGGGGCTATCGCTCCTTCTCAGCCAAGTCAGAGCTGGCCTGCCACCACAGAGCTGGCTTAGAAAGCACCCTGCGTGGAGGCAGATGGCGTGCACGTGTGTGCACACAGCCCTCCCCAGGGAGATGTGGGATGAGTGCAGATGACTCAGTGGCTTCTCTCTGCATCCGTGGATTCTCCACTGCTTGGTCCTTAACGCGTATGTTCCCTTTAGTCTGTTCCTCAAGTTTTTGTGGTTAGAAATCATGTATTTTCCTTGGCCTAAGATAAAAGCCTTGGAATAATAGTGTAATGCACTTTACAAAGCCGACTCTAATTGGTGGCTGCTTGAGATCTTCCTTTTGCCCTAGTGACCCATCTCCTTGTGTAGAGTTTTGTTTATTTGTTGAGTTTTGAGACAGGGTTGTGTAGCCCTGGCTTGCCTAGAACTCACTGTGTAAAACCACTGGCTTCGAACTCTGCCTCTCCAGAGCTTGGATTAAAGGCTGCATACCACCATGCCCCAGCCTTTCAGCGTTCTAAAGTCGATCTCTTATAACTGGATTTTCACACTCTTCCAAACCTGGGGCCTCTGGGAGGCAGCTTTTGCATCCTCACTGTACGAAGCTGTGGACTTGACCCCAACATGGCAATTCATCAAGGAAACAAATAGTGTAAATAGTGTCACTTTACGCAATTTGTAGCCTTGTTTCCAAAGATCCATATTTGTGCCCTCTAAATAGATTCTGCTTCCTACATGGTAACCAGAAAAACAGGCAAACCACATAGACTTCCTTAAAATGCAGTTGGATTTGACTGTGATGGTTTCTAAGGACGCCTCTTGAGTTAAGGCAGCTTCTCCGAATGATCTCTCCGCCAAGGGATCTCAGGGCCAGGGGGTGGGATCCACCCGCACCTGCCCACACAGCCGAAGCTGAGACTCATGTCAGTGTGTGAGGCGTGGGGGTTTCTTTCTCCCCAGTCTCCCATCCTAGCCTCTGGGGAATGGTAGCCAAGGAAGGATGCTGCAAGGAGCTCCAGGATTGAACAGGGATTGTGTCTTCAGCTCTCAAGAGGGGAGGGAAGGTGTTGGCTGTCGTTTTAGTTTATGGTTCGTGTTTGTATGCTGGGGAGTTTACACGTGTAGAGTCATTGTGGTTCATGTTTGTACAAGATATAATTACTCAAAATTACATGACGAACATATTTTAGTTCTTAACCCTTCCCATCCTGCCAAGCTTTATGGACTCCTTGGGGACTTCTTCCTGGATACCTCCCTCACCTGAGTGTGGCACCCCACCAACCAGGCTCTGCTCCTGGATACACTTCACTGCCCTGTCTGGTGGTAATCTGTTTCGGGACGTCCCTGAGACTTCAGGGCTCCCGAGTACTTCCTAGCAAGGAGATGCAGGCATTCAGATCTCATGCGAATGGTCACCCTGAGGAGTGTGGCCGCACAAACTATCGTCTTCCCTATCCCGGCAATGTTTTACCCTGGGTCCAGTGACTGAGGGGTGTTCTTGGAGGGGTAGAGAAAGCGGTGCTTGCTGACTCATAGGGTACCGACCTTAGGCAGAGAGGGGCCCACTCAGCATTTCAGTCTGCCTTGGGACCTGTCTACAGACACCGACTCAGGAGGCCAGTGAGTGCAGCGAAGGGTGCACCGAAGTCCTGGTGTCCCTGGAGGTTGGGGGAAGAAAGCCATGTTTCCCCGGAGCCCACAGCCAGGCTGTGGGCTCACGGGGCGTGTGTCCTTAGCAAACTCAGTGGCTGCTAGCGGTGTGAAAAAGTGAGGACTCGGACTCGCAAAATCTGGAAGTTATAACTCAAGAGCGGCAGTATAGGAGTTTGCTGGGATAACGGCAAACGTGTACACCGTCCGCTCACTAGAGGGTAAAGCAGGCTTCGGAGAGGCTTCTTCACCCTCGGATTTCCTTTGCATTGAAGATTTCGTGTGGAGGCCCCACACAGAGCCTGCAGAACTTTGTCTGTGACAGTTAAACTGAAAACGTCTTTCATTCCTTTCAGGTTTACAGGAACAGACGGACCAAGTGGTTTTGGCTTTGAATTGACATTTCGCCTGAAGAGGGAAACTGGGGAGTCTGCCCCACCAACATGGCCCGCAGAGCTGATGCAGGGCCTGGCCCGATACGTCTTCCAGTCAGGTACTAGCCCAGAGGCTGGCTGCTGTGCTAGTCCTGTGGCCGTCAGCACGGTGGGCTTTGGGAACCTGCAGGTCTGTTTTGATGTTTACAGAGTCCTTTTGTGGGTGGAAAACTATGTGGACCTGAGCAGACAGATGACTATGTCAGTGTCCCAATACCTGGGGACTGTTTCTGTCTATCCTAACTAGTGGCCTGGCTGTCTCTGTGTCTGTTTCCGGGACTCAAGCACGTAGGCTAATCTTGGCTTAGTCTGGGAGAATAGTAGAGACTGGAGCTGTTCCTTTCCCTCGCAGGGAGGAGGGGACACTGAAATCAGAACTGAGTTAAATTATTCGAATGCCCTCCAAGAGATTGCCCTTTGCTCGCAGTGCCCACTGGGGACTGCTGCAATGGATCTTGGGTAAGGCCTCTGTGCTGGGAATGTTCTTAACTTTCTTAGCTCAGTCTGCCAGAATCCTCCAGCCTGTGGAGGCTTCGGAGCCCCTGAATACTTCTCTGTGGCTAGTGTTCAGAGTACTTACATGACCTGCATTTTTGTTTCTTTGATTTGGTGTCTAGCCTGCTTCCCTCTCACTCCTCCACCTTCCCATCCTTTTCTCACTTTACATAATGACCTTGGCTAGCCTGAAACTCACTGTGTAGATCCACCTTCCTTAGCCTTCAAGTGCTGGGATTACAGTTTCATACCTATACCTATACCTAGGTGAGAGAGGGAGAAGGGAAAGTGAGGAGAGACAGAATGTGTATTATGACATGGGGATTGAATCTGGGTCTTAAAGCCAAGTGCTCTGACACTGACCTGTATCCAGCCTGCGAATTTTTTCTTTCAAGCAGGGTTTCATTAAGTTGTCCAAGCTGACCATGAACTTACCCTTTAGCCTGCTTATAGGCCTGTGCTACCAGGTCTAACTGAAAATAGATTTTTCTTTGATGTAGAATTTGATCTGCTACGGGAATGGGGGCTCTAAAGATGAGGCTTGCTTGTAGAAACAGGTACTCTACTGCTTGTTAATACATTCATTTGTGTACCTGCTTAGGTAGACAGGGATAAGGGAAGTGGAAAATAGATGTTACAAAATGCCAATAATTTCTAATGTGAAATCATTTTGAAATTATAATGCAAATCAGTGGATAATACGATTTTCTTTGCAAATATTCATTCACATACAGAATTAATCTCACTAGTGACTTTCTCCCCCTCCCTTTTTTGACAGTTTTTTTTTAAAGATTTATTTATTATTTGTACAGCATTCTGCCTGCATGTGTGCCTGTGCACCAGAAGAGGGCACTAGATCTCACTATAGATGGTTATGAGCCACCATGTGGTTGCTGGCAGTTGAACTCAGGACTTTTGGAAGAACAGCCAGTGCTTTTAACCTCTGAGCCATCTCTACAGGCTCAGACAGACTTGATATATAGCAAAGCTGGTCAATTTTTCTTTAACTGATTAAAAAGGTTGTGTGGCGCTGGTGATGCTGGTGATGGCAGTAGTGGTGGCTGCGGCACACACCTTTAATCTTAGCACTTAGGAGGCAGAGGCAGGCAGATTTCCGTGAGTTTGAGGCCAGCCTGGTCTAGAGAGTGAGTTCCAGGACATCCAGGGAAACACACACACACACAAAAAAAAAAAACTTTCTTGAAAAAACAAAAAAGATGGTGAGGAGACTGGGGAAATAGTTCAGTAGGTAAAGGTTCTTGCTACCAAGTTGTCCTCTGATCTCCACACATATATATGCCAGAGCACATGTGCTCACACACACATATACACAAATAAATCTAATTTATCACATTTTAAAAAAGTGTTAGGTAGCTGGTGAGGTGGCTCAGTGGGTAAAGGGGCTTACTGTCATGCCTGAATTTGATCCCTGGAACCTGGATGGTGGGGAGAACCAGCTCCCTCTGATTGTCCTCTGACCTCCACATATGTGCCATGGCGTGCCCCTTCATCCTCAGTAAATAATGTTAATTAAAATTAAAAAAAGTTGTTAGGAGACAAGAACTTAAAGACTCATTCTACAGATTACATATTTATTGATAGGAAGAAGAGAGGGTGAGCGATGGCTCCGTGGTTAAGAGCACTGACTGTTTTTCCAGAGGACCTGAGTTCAGTTCCCAGCACAACCTCCTGTATCTCCAAGGTCCAGGAAAGCCAACTCTCTTTTCCCTCCATGGGCTGAGGGATTTCATGGGTGTATAAACATACATGAAGGAAAATACTCATATACAGAAAACAAAAATAAAGACATCTTGGAGAGAAGGGTGGGGACTGTCCTGCCAAAAGAAGGTCTGAGCAGATGTACCTTAGCCCAAGGATCAAGCACTACTGGGCACTGCTAACAGAATGTTACCATGTGGCTCTACGTGCTGCAAGCCGAGCTGAGAGGCAGCCGAATAGCACTTTTCCTGGATCCACGCGTGAGTTACAACCGAATGTGGAACATTGTGGGCATTCTACAGCTCAGCTGCCTGGATTCCTGAACCTAGCAAGGCCTGTCTCAGATTCAAGGCAACTTGGTGGTTCACAATCGATGTTTGATCCTTGATGGACCATGGGAGAAAAAGGTCCTTTGCAGGACAACTGGGAAAATGTGAATGTGGGCTGTATGTGAAATGCTAGTGTTTGTGAAGTTTCTCATGTTTGTGGTATTGTGATTATACAGGATAATGGCTTCGTTCTTGGGAGATAAAGGCTGAAGTGTCTATAGATAGAATGATACTAAATGACTCAACAAGAAGTAAGATGTGTGAGAGAAAGAAAGTACAAAATCTTATTAGTGGTTTAAGATGGCAGGTATCTAGATATTCATTTATGTTCATTTTACTCTTTTTTTTTTTCTTTTTTTTTTTTGAGACAGGGTTTCTCTGTGAAGCCTTGGCTGTCCTTGGACTTGCTTTGTAGACCAGGCTGGCCTTAAACTCACAGAAATCTGCCTGCCTCTACTTCCTAGATGCTGGGATCAAAGGTGTGTAACATTATCCTGGTTATTCCTTGATTTTATGTGGTTGATTTAGGTACTTGCCTTGGAAGCCCTGTTCTAAATGCAGTAGAATCTGTGTGGTTTAGCAGGGCCAGATAGTAAACCTTGAATAAGGTGCAGAATCTATATAGTATGATTAACAGCTCTTTAGATTAGATTTAGGCTGATCAGGCTCCCAGAGTGGAGCATGCTGGGCTGATGATAGAGCCCCTCCTTGTGGCTTGTAGCTCTCACTAATCCCTGTGTGGTTACGTTCTATCACGGTCGCACATAATTATATTATACAGAACATGTATGTTCTTTGCTTGGTATGTCCACAGATGCCCCCTACATGTGTAAATGGCATCGGAATTCTGTCTTATGCTCTTGCCTTTCTGTCCACTCTAAACCCATTAGCTTCATACAGAGTGCTCCACTCTCTTCCCCACCCAGCTGCATGTGAGGGCATGTTGAGCAGTATAGTCAAATGAGTGTTGAGACCTGCTTTTCCAGATCCAAATACCAGGCACGCTTTTAGCACCAGGCCAGTGGCAAGCAAAGGAAGGAGGAATGAACTGTGGTGGGTGTAGAGTCGGGGCAGCAGTGTCCACTCCGAGCCATCAGACCGCAGCAGCAGCCTCTGGAGTTTGCTCTGAAGAGTGACTCAGATGGGCCCTAAACTGAGCTCTGAGCGCCCACTGGAAAGTTTGCTGAGAGGTGGGAAGCTAAGCTGCAGAAACACAAGCAGCCAAGGAAGGGACTTCCATAGAGGCCAAGCCTTCCCTACTATTTATAATGTAGATCGCATTATATACAACCCAGAACAAACTTGGATCAGGTGTTGCTGTGATTTGTTTTCTGTTTGTTTTTGTTGTTTTATTTGGTTTGGGTTTTGTGTATGTGTGTGTTGTTGTTGTTTTGGTTTGGTTTGGGCTTTTTTGTTTTTGTTTTGGGGGAGGGGGTTGGACATAGGGTCTCACTCTGTAGCCCTGAATGGCTTGGAACTCACTATGTAGACCAGGCTGGCCTCCAACTCACAGAGATCTGCCTGCCTCTACCTCCTGGATGCTGGGATCCAAGGTGGGTACATCATGCCTGGCTGCTCCTTGATTTTATGTGGTTGATTTAGGTACTTGCCTTGGAAGCTCTGTTCTGAATGCAGCAGAATCTGTGTGGTAGCGGGGCCGGATAGTAAACCTGGAATCAGGTGCTCATGACTTGGACATGCAGGGTTTCAGGTGTGCTTGATCTGTGTGCTCAGCGTCTGGGGCTGTGGTGCTGTGCTTTGGCTTGTGTTGCAGAGTGTCCTTCATCAGCTGGGAGGGATGACACTCATCCTACCTCCAAGCTCTTGGTTTGCAGACACTTAGGTGGAAGTTTGTTTCTCCCAGCACTTACATGGCAGGCCTGGAGAGGGTTCAGATGGGTCTGCTTGGGTCAGTTGACACCCTTGTTGGTGGCAGTGGTCCTTCCAACAGAGAGTGGGGAGGGGATCCCTTAAGCCGAAGGGTAAATCAGTCGTTCATGGGGCAGTAGATGTACCTGTCATCCAGTCATGCTGATGAGCAGTCACCTGGGAAGCCAGGCGTTAGCGGAAGTACAGAAGGGCAGGCACCCGGTGTCCTGTCTTCTTGCATCTTATAGGCTGTGCTGCCAAGTGGGTAAGCACTCTGACCAGAGCACCCTGTGAGGACACCCCGTATAATCACCGGAAGAGGCGCTGTTCCTGGCTTGGTTGGCTTTCATTCAGCAATAGGGATGAGGACCTGTTCTTTGGCATCTGGGCTGCCTTTCTCAGCATATGCCTTGCGTTTTTAAAATGGCTTTCTCGTATTCTGGAGAGGGTTGCCTTGGCTCATTGCACCTCAGAGTACACGAAAGCTAGAGCAACATTGCTTTTTCTTTTAAGACAGGTCTGTGGTGTGGCAGCATTGGAGGGACTGGACCTTTCCGTGCTATCTGGCGAGAGAGCAAGCTATGACAAAGCAAGGCCAGCCACACATTGGTCTCCTTTGCTCATTGCCTTTCCTGCCTCAAACTCGC